GTAGAATTGTATGATGAGGTAGACAGATGACTCATTTCTTGAAGCTGGTGACATAGAGCTGCTGAGAGATGTGTCGTACCATGGAATTAAGTGCATCTAGCCGTTCTTCCCGCATATTTCGTCGTTGTTCCAAGTCAGTTATTTTTTCGTTGACCATCGTTAGAAGTCGATCAATGCCAAAAAATTCCGCCTCACGCTACAAATTAGTTTTACAGATTTATGGAATGACTAAGCAATAACAACTTTCAACTGAATAACATCATTTCAGTTGGTAGCTGAAACTATTAGAAAGGCAAATTTCTAAGCCTCAAATGGGTTTATATAAATGACAACAAATAAAGACGTTACTCCAATCTGTCTCAACAAGTCAGTGTCGTCGGGTAACTCCATCCTTGAACAATCACGTAGATATTGTAATATGTATGCAAATAGTTTTCCATCTCTGTTGACAAAAACCCTTCCTTGTTCATCCTCCTAAAAAAAAGTACGGATCAAAGCAATAAATTTCATTTGTAAAGTCTGAACACATAAAACTATCACTTCTACAAGAAAACTATAGAGAAAACTGTTGATTATTTTATTATAACTGTTAAGCACAGATGCAAACCTACAATGACTTGTTGTTTCAAAGTTGTAACACGACCAGTACGATCGATTTGGAAAATGTGACTAAAGAAACTACAATTTCTGGTAGCCAAAGTACCGTAAAAAGTCTGATAGTATGTGCCTCCAACGTTTAGGGATACAATTTCGTTAATATGATGTCCTTCAGGTACCTAAAATAATAGCTCAAATAAATACTTACCTTACGTTATAAGGCTTACATTATCTTTTATTATGCGAAAATTTTTTTTCTGCTTTTTTAATGTAATTTATTGTTATAAGTTTTATGCAACAAATACCGGTGCTTGCATTTGAGGAGCTACAGGTCCGTAATTACCAATCATTTTCGGATTTGGTGGCCGAGGATAAGCCGTACCATAGCCATTTGCAAGTTGAGGGGGACCTCGCGACATTGCTCTAAAATTGTCGTATTATCATTAAACACATATCACTGTTTCTGTGGAAAACAGTTTCGCTTCTTGTTAAACGGCATTTGGATAGACTCCATATAAGTTAAAGACCAATTTCCTGCAAATTTATTCTTGAATAAAAAGTATCTATTGCTTACTGCTGTATTTTTGTTTGCGTAAAATTTTTGATCTGTTGAGGAAAAACATCATTTTTTGCTTCAGTTTTTTATTTATTTGTATAATTAAAACATTAAAGCATTCCTTTTGTTGATACAGTAATTAAAAAAATTTTTTTTATTATTCTGTTCAAAGTGAAGAGAATAGACTTCTTATCTGGTAGACATCAGTATGCCAGCAATTTGTAAAGTGTACTTAATTGCTTACTCTTCTCCCTTCTGTACTTTTATATGAATAACAAGCGTATAAGAGAGAACAAACGAAAGCAACACCAAATAAATGCTTGAAAAAAATGGCAAAAATGTTTTCGCATTCTACAAACAGTTCAAGACGTAGTGTGGTAATTCTAAAGAGGGAATTTCAATAAAATAACGCTCACCTAGTTCAAATCTATTTTTTAACTTTTAAGCACAAATAACAACTTTTATATGCAATACATCAAGAGATCACAAATAAACTTTTGAAGTAGATGTATAATGGCTTAAAACTTGGAAAAAACTGAAGAAGACCAGTAGCTAGACCAGCATGGAACTAAAAGAAGCAAACAGATTGGTGGATAACGCAAAATCAATCTTACAGTCGCTTCTTCATCTAGAAGTATCAGAAAGAAAAGATGTACGAGAAGCTAAAGAGAAAAGTTGACAACTATCACGAAGAAATATTTCAAGCGGTAACGGTAATAACACGTGTTAATAGTAATAACTAACTAATTCTGTAATGCAATGACTGTAATGTAATTCTGTAATGTAATGCAATAGAGGAAAATTTAACAGTAAAAACCTGAAAAAATTCACAGAAGAAATATCAAAAAAGTACTCAAAGAAATGTTTTTGATTTTTTGAATGCATTTTTGAGAAAATTTTACTGATAAGTACAGAATGATGCATTGGATGCGTTCTCTAATGACAAACTACTGAACGGTGACCATTATTTTTAAATAGCATCAGTTCTGTATCAATAAAAGTTTCATTTGTTATTGTCACTATTATTAATATTATTATTGATATAATAATAATAATAATAATAATAATAATAATAATAATTACTATTATTATTATTATTATTATTATTATTATTTTTATTTTTATTTTTATTGTCACTGCCGAACGCTGACATTCTTTATTAACACCAGCTTTAAGCTGCAGAATTCGTGCACCTTACTTTGGATCAACTTAACACTGTGTTCTTGTTGTAACTCTCTAACTTCTTAGTCTTTTCTTAATTTAACAAGCATTACAGCTGTTTTACAGGCTGTTGACTAGATACATGAAGATTTTACGATAGTGGCACAGTAGGAGGAAAAGAAAAAAGAGTTAAAAAATTGCTGGTACTTCAGATGTGTCTTGTTAGTCGAGGAAGAAAAGAAGTTACAGCCAGTGGGCAATATAGTAAAAGTAGCAAATAGTAATTCTAATGTTACTCATTTCAATACAAATGCTTTATGCCGGAAACTACTCCTAAAGCTGACGGTACAACTGATAGGATTTTGTCGAGTAATGAGGAAGTGTAAAGCCTTAACAGTTTTACTTTATCTAACAACATTTACACTTGTCATTATTTGACCAGCTTTATTGTATAGTTGTTTATGAAGATGTTTAACAGTCATAATGTCCATTCATTTTTGACTCAGTTAGTTTATAAAAAACTTCAACAAAGATATGCGACCTAAAGGTTCAAAAGCGGTCGACAGTATGAAGAATAGAGTGCATTTTAACGCTGTCATATATAGATTTAGACGTTCTATGAATAAAATGCCAACAAATTCTAGTAGTATTTGGAACAGCAGTGTGATGTCACAGACTAAGAGGTGCAAAAAAAGTTTTTTATTCGCCTCTTTGTTCCCACACCATTGAGCGTTATCGAAATAATTCGTTACCAAAATAACATACTCCCTAAATTGTAAGGTAATCATAGATGTTAATTAGAGAGAAGAAAAACCATAGACTTTAATGGTATGAATAATCAATCTTGATTTGAACCTAACATTTGCTTTTTATTGCTAAAGTTAAAACTGTTCTGCGAAATTTGCAGTTGACATTTCTGGGTGGTGTTTGGTCAGCTGAATTGACAGCAAAACTGTCACTGTCACAACCAAAAATTCTCATTTAACAAACTTTTATCAAGGAATTTTGTCATCACACCAATTTTTGCGCTAAACGGTAAAACTGTGCACTTAACAGTCAAAATCCCAGCATCAAATCTGCTTTATTGATATTACCACTTTAAAAACTTGTGATTGTAATGAAAATTATTTAACAGTGATTCATCATTCTATGGAATGTCAAAAAACAAAATTCTGATTAAAAAAGAAACTTTTGGTTTTCTTCTCCAGCCACACCTAAGCAGCGTAATTTTAAGGCTTATTTAGTGCTTCCTGATCGATGACTTGAAAAGAATTTCTATGCCGTCCAATTTTATCACTTTATCTGTAGAAAAAAATTAATAAAAGTGTTACAATTAATCGCATTATCAATATTTCCATTTTATAATCTATACCATTTAAAAATATAAAAGTTAGAAATACTTTCTAAATCGTACTATTGCAGATCTTACATGGACCATAGTGTCAGCAGTAAACAATTTGGTTATTAAATTGACACCAACAAACAGAAGCAGTGTTAATTAACCAAACCGTACAAAAGTAACGTTCCCCCCTTCAAGTAGACCTTTTCATACTAAACCCATGCTTAAAAATCAATTTTTACAGCAACTCATGCATGGAGAGAGTGAAAAAAAAGAACAGTAACATCAATTATTTCTCCACAAAAACTGACCAAACCTTTCCGGTCTGTAACTTTTTCAGAAAAATAATAGAAGCCCAATTTTCTTCTCGACTTTGTTCTAGCGTAAAATTTACTCTCAAAAAAAAGAAACTTTTACATGACCAACACTACAGGTCAAAAGATGCCACTGATAATCCCATGCGCTAAATTTACCACGTTTCATAACGTTCTAATTGCATAATTAAACCAGAGTGTTCAGAATTAAAAAAATTCCTCTATTTTTACAGGAAGTTAACTGAAAAAAAAACCATAAAGTATACAATTGAAGAGAAAAATATTTTTGAATCAAAAAGTCGACTTGAGCAAGCAAAAAAAAGAATAAATAAGAACGAAAACATTCTTATAAACATCACCTTATCACATCAAGCGGCACAAAAATAAATTATTTCACTGCAGAAAGCGATTCCATTACACACGTTATCAGTTGTAAGTTAATGATCAACCTTCCATAAAACCGTTCACAACATTCATGCACATTATGCAGCTAATTTCTCGACTTATTTCAATCTAAGAGCAACAATTCAATGGACGAATCAGCAATGTTAAAAAAGGCATCTAAAGCAAGCAAAAATCTTCGGTATACTTATCATTCTTTTGAACTGGTAATTTTAGCAACTTCTTAACTGCTTTTTAAAATAGAAGATTACATTGTTATCATTACGGTCGTCGTCTAAAATTTATTTCATTGAAAAAAAAAACAATAAAATAGAAAATTAGTCCTCCACACCACAGTACGCTGGTTTAATTAGGTTCAATATAAATTAACAAAAATAATGAACAAATTGAAGCGCTCTACACAGCAGACATTTATGCCCACATCCTAAAAAACCCGATACACTACTGGAGGAATGCACGGCACCAAACGGTTATTATACTAAACAATGTTATCGCAACACACAACGATACGGCAATAAAAAAATTGTAATCAAAGTTCTAAGTATTCCGGTCAATCAGTGCATTTCGTCCAGTAATTTTTAAGGCTCTTGATCTTTGTTTGCAAAGATAAGTTATTTGTTGACAAACCGTTGAACATCGGAAAAGAATTATCAAACAAAAAAAGCACTGCACTACCCAATGTTTACTGAATCGCCTTAATTGGAAGGAAAGGAGAGAGAGGAAAATGTAACTTTCAAATTCGAAAAAGTTGCAGGAATATATACATACAAATTGTTCTAAACAAACGCAACTACAAATAATGATTAGCTAAACTAGATTTGAATGCTGATAGTACCAAATCAGGTAAAGAGTCAAAGCATAAAATACATCCTTGACAAGGGAGAGATTTAATACTGGTGTTAATCCACCTCTTCATGACAGCAAATCTTTTCTTTGCCTTTCGGTGGTCGATGACAAAAATTGCCATTCTGAATGCAACTACCGTCAGCACACGAGTAACTGACTTCTGTGGAGCCCTTTGGACAACCTGAAAAAAAACCTTCAGTCTGAAACTTACTCGGTATGCATTTCATCAACTCCACCAGAAAACTGCTTTTTAAAAGAAGCAGGAAATAAGTAGTCAATAAGTGAAGAGAAAATACGTACGATTTTTGCCTTTACAGCAAACGTTAAATGTCAAATCGCACATGTAACCAGTTGCACAGTCTTTCGTTCGAGAGCAATGAATTAGTTGGTTCTTACTATCTACGGATGGCTCTCCTTTCCAACCGATAGTGCATGTAATCCCTAAAAAAAGAAGAGATTAGTTAGTGTACATGAGTCTCGGCAATAAAACCGCTCAGCGTTGTTATAATAACCTAGTTTTTATTGATATTAGACAAAAATACTTACTTTTACAGATTCCACCAACTTCCCCATACCCATGCGGGCATTTACAAAAGCCATTATTACATTCGACTTTCGTCAAACTTTCTTCATCCATAGTTGTACATTGTTCAGAAATCTGACAACTTTCACCAAGCTGTGCAACTGGATAACACTGACCGTTTATGAACAGATCTTCCATACTTACACAGGGTTTTGGGCAGCATATCTATTGAGATGAATAAAGCCGCTTGTAAATGCAACCTTAGATCAAAAAGGAGAAAAAGAAGAGTGAAATGACTCAGCAAGTAGAGTCATCTACGGATAAAAGCTTACTTCTTTGTTCGTGTAAATTTTGTCTCTGTGACAAAAGTAATCACTGGGACAGTTCTGGCATCCGTATTCTGGAGCACTGCTTGATTCGTGCGCAACTCCTACGGGGCACACGGGATGATGCTCTGATGGTAATGGACAGCAGAACCCCTGCAATAATCTAAGACGTATTATCTCTTTATTGTGATATTTAGGCCTGTTTTACCTATCAGCGCAATTATCCATTAAGAAATAGTCGTAATAGTCGTGCTCAACAGGAGAATTCAACAAAAAAATTTTTTTCAACTACAGTTGTTCTACTTTAAAAGCTGACTTCCCATGAGCTAATCCTTTTTAAAAATTATGTACTTTTCAGCAAGGGATAAAAAGTACCCGCTGCATTCGCTCCCTAACTTATTTTACAAAGTTAAGACGATTCAGAAGAGCCAAATGTCAAATATGCTTCTTTGAAAGCGGCATTTGCCGGCAGAATCACTGAAGAGCGCAACACAGATTAAAGGAATGTTTCATGGAAGAGGTTCCCCTCATGACTGGGGATGTTTGAATTCATGGAAAATTAACAGTTTTGCAGGCTTTGTTTATACTGTTTAAGAAATCTCAGAAAACGACCAATAAAGACGACGAATAAACGAATTTGTAAAGAATTCAAATTGATTTACTTCTTTTCTCTTAACAGCCAAACTAAAAATTTTGCATTTTTTCTTTTTGCTCTTTAGTTTTAACTGTCAGAAGAATGCACTCAAAAAAGAGTACATCTGACTTTGAACCGCATATGACAAAAGAAAGCTCAAAAAACTGTGCCATCTCTGAAAAATACACGAAAGTGACTGAAAATAAATATAAAGAAGAAGCAGTTCTTTAGAGTCTTTTTCATTTATGAAGTAATTTTTTGGAAATCTAAGATTAATGGAACAATCCAGAACAATGGCTAATTTTATTACAAGTGAAAATTAAGAATCTGCGAATGAGCAAATTGAGTAAAAATGATGTATGAAACTGAAAGTGTGATGTTGCGAGCAAGAATGGT